GGCAACCACATGTGACGACCCCGGGCTGGACTCCGCTTCGTCCACGGTGAAAGCCGATCCGGCGATCCACAGCGCGAAGTTTATGTATTTCCTCAGCGACCGGATCAGCTCTAGGCATGACGAAGCGGATATCATCCTCTTTTGGAAGGCCAAACAAAGTAGTTTCGCTTTCACAACGAAACACAAAGCGTCTCCACGGCATGGCGGCAGCAACAACAATACTACAGCGAGAATAAAAGTTACGCCTTCTTTCTTTGCGTGAACATTTGGGCGGTGTTATGCAAATACACATGTGGGGGCGTGTTTAAATAAGGCGTTTTAGGAGGGCGTGGACAAGTCTTAATTTTTATAAAGAATATCTTTGGGTTTGAGACTTTAGTCGTTGCAACTTTAGGGATCTTATCTATGCATGAACAGCTTGTAACACTCCAAAGAGAAAGGAAATTTTTGAATTGCATCATATGACCCCTTTAACTTAACAAAAACGTAAACACTAATAATATAAAGGCAGGGGAGGGGGAGATTAAAATTGACACGCTGCACAGCTGTAGGGCTTCATGGGGTCGGGCTCTTGTACACATTGCATGTGGTACCACCAGTCACACATGTCACACTGAATCTGTAACAACAAAGGTAATAATGCTTCCAAGATATTCAGGGTGAATATCTGAGATACAGTACAACATATAGACTAGCTGTGATACATATACTGTGTGTATATCCTCTTAAGAAAGATGTAACTTGCAAATAATCCTACTTATATACCATGCACATCAGTCAAGTTAGTCCTTAACATTATCAGTGGATGATGAGCACCTGAGCACATGCCTGATCTGCATTTATTCTATTTAACTTATAAGGTGAAGGCTTTAACTGCTTCTTGTGTGATGTCAGCTTCATGAACAATTTTAATTGTTGTTGCATGTTGAAACACAAAAATAGGCTATTCTGCAAACAACTGCATTGTTTATTCTCATGATATTTTTAATTTTACTCTCAGTTTTTTTAAATTATTATTATTATTGAAGGGGTCATATTTTTCCTTTCTGTTTGGAGTGTTACAAGCTCTTGGTGCATAAAGAAGATCTGTAAAGTTGCAAAGACTAAAGTCTCAAATCAAAAGAGATATTCTTTATAAAAGTTAAGAGTCAACCACGCCTACCTAAAACGGCTCGTTCTAACATGCCCACATGTCTACGTCATGATAGGCGCTGTGTGTTTCGTTGTGAAAGCGAAACTACTTTGTTTGGCCTTCCAAAAGAGGACGATATCCGCTTCGTCATGTCTGGAGCTGATCCGTGCTGTCTCTGAGGAAATACATCAACTTCACGCTCTGGATCGCCGGATCAGCTTTCACTGTGGACGAAGCGGAGTCCAGCCCGGGGTATAAATCAGAACAATATGAAAAATATTCAGATATAAAAAGAAAAAAAAACCATAAAAAGATTAACAACATCAATGAAACAGTGCCAGAGGATATAACAAAAATAATAATAATAATAATAATAATAAATAAATAAAAAATAAGGGCCTCACTTTATACAATAGCATGCCTCCTTACAATATTATGAGTTCTAATAGCCTTTTTACTTGTGCAATTAGCTCTCTCAGTCTTACACGGATGTGACTTTTAAAAGATGCAAGAGCGCAAAAGAAGCCAATCCGCTTCTCTAGTCAATTATGAGCAAAGTAATGGAGAGAGAGAGCAATTTAACACCATAATTTTTAAATAGAAATGAAAGTACAAATTTTTAAATTAAAAGTATTAGAAAATGAATATATAAAATAAATAAATGGCAATTCAATATTGTAAAAGCTGTACTGTTCATATTAAAACTTAACAGTTAACTTAACATAAAAGTTTTTAATGTATTTATTTTTAAAGTACACACTACATTTGGAGAACATCAAAGTCTTTCTTTGTGAAAGAATTTCCCTTAGGCGATAGATAGATAGATAGATAGATAGATAGATAGATAGATAGATAGATAGATAGCAAAACTGAACTATCAAGATTCAACACCACTGCACCCAACCACAGGTCGTTTATTAGCCTATGGAACATCAAAGCCGAGAAACGTAATCATGGTAACTAGAGAACGCAATAACACTCAGAGACCTGTTTAATAACCTTGTTTGCTGATGTAAAGAAAGCTGCTTTGAACAGTTCATTCAGCGCACGCGACCAGACTGTATTGACGCGCTCATACCTCCTGTGCACGGGCCAAGCGCGTTCACTTTATGAACCTGTAGTCACAGATCCCACCTATGTTTGAAGTTACGCTGTTTGCGTACCCAATCTGCTTGTGTGATCGAGTTCAAGCCAAACAATGACAACAGTGCCTACTAGGGTCACAGAATACGATGGTCACAGAATTCGGTGTAACAGAGGAATTGTTGGTCACATGTGAAAATGTAATCTGTCTGCTATGAGAATGTGTTTTGAAATGTTAAAAACATCTTGATTGCTTGACTGCAAAATAAGTGACGGCAAGGTAAAAAGCACATTTTGGTAAAAAAGTTGGGAGGTTGCATCAAAGCATAACTCTGTAACTTAGTACATGTAAGATACAGAAATGTAGTTTCAATTGTCTGAGTACAAGGTTTTACTTTTTCAATTTTGCACCCTGTTTTGTCCCACTTCTCAAGAATCAATGATGAACACACTCCCATATTTTCATTGTGTATGTGATTTTGTTATACTTGATATTACACCGCAAGTTTTTCAAAACCAGATGAAACTAACATGAATACAAAGCTTGGTGTATGTGTTTTAAACTAGGGTTTTTAAAAGATTTCTCTTTATTTTTATGTCACTGACCCATTGTAAAACAGATTTGAATGTGACTCCCAATCAGATTTTGGATTTAGAACATATTTATATTTAAGCAATATCACATGAGCAAAAGTACTTGTGTACTGTTTTACTTGTGTACTTGTTGCCCACAGGAGCTCACAGTTGTGCTGATATTTAATATATTTAATAATGAGATATTGCTTTAAAACAGTTCATATTTATATTTCAGACAGAAGCATCTAAAGAAGCAAATTCTAAGTTGCAAACGCTAAAATGTTTTACTGCTGTTATACTAAACATCAGCACTCAGTCACTCAAACTCAAGGATCAATGCTGATTTTCTTCATTCTACCTTGGAGACTGAAGCCAGAGCTTTGGAAGCTGTTTCCTCCTCTTTAGTGCCCTTTGCAGTCCGCTTTTGAATATTCTACAAAAGGTTGAAATTAATCCAATTACTATTGTCTTATCATTTCACATTTAATAGAAAAATTAGAGGAACAAGTATTTTTTGAGAACATTAGAAGTATGTACAGGTATCTCACCTGTATAAGGATTTTGATGCGGGTGATTCGCTGGAAAGGCAGAAGCATAAAGGATGTGAAGGGTAGATGTTTACAGAGTGGAGATGACTCTAGCCGCCTCATCACAAGAGAAAAATCTCTGTTACTCTCCCTGCCAGTACCACACATACACATAAGCAACATGTCCTACACACTGTTTAATTATCACTAATATATATGTCTGTTTTTGGTCATCCTACTCCAAAAGTAAATGCATTATAAAATGTATTTTATGCATTTTCAAAATGTTTTACATTAAAATTATTATTATTATTATTTATCATTATTTTTATTTTTTTTGTAGTTATGGGTAAAAGTCTCACATCAGTCTGCTGTAGGTTTTCTCTTGGTACTGCTGATTTCGGACATAATCAATAAAGACTGAGAAATGGTTCTCTGAGTGCTCATAAATGATGTCACACACGTCAGATATCACCACACTCTCATCTACTCGCTTCAGCAGATCCCCTATAAACCTGAGAACAACAGAGATGTGCATTCATGCCTGTGGGGTAGTACTTTTTTAGCTGAGAGTAAATAAATGATAACAGAATTGTAATTTCTTTCATGTGTCATGCTCTTGAACTTGTCTCTCTTTCTCACCTCTCGCTGACTTCATAGACCTGCAAGAGGTTGGAGAAGAGGGCCCTCCTATCATGAATGACCAGAGTCTCATTGAGTTCCCGTGACCCCAGGAAATGATCCTTCAGAACACGCAGGGAGCGCAGGTAGGAGGCCTCAGAGGTGAGCACCTCAAACATGCTCTAAAAACACACGTAAAGTTTAAAATAAAAATATGTAATAAAGCTGAATTTGGCAAAGAAAGTTGTTAAGTTATTTCTAATAGTGGTAAACTATTACTCTCACCTCTTGTCTCTGTTTTTCAGTGCGAGTGAGTTTATGTAACACTCCACTTTCCTTCACCACTGGTAAATCCTGCCAGAGTGTAATCTCATCAGGGCCTCTCTTGAATCGGGTGCCAACCACCCCAAGCCCTCCAGGACCCTCAAGACCCAGGGTTTCACTAACACTCCTCCTGTTGCAATCAGGACTATCAGACTGGATCTGACTGGCTTCTTTCAAGACCTTTGCCTGGTAGATCTGATATAGAGGTTCTGAAGATGACATTGTTTTCGAGAATGCTTAGTTGAACAGCAAAAGATCCAAAGAAATGTTATTGCACCTAATGTTCATTTAATCCTGCTCCAAAATCTATCTTGAAATTCTATAATAAAACCAGAAATAATTGTTTAACTGTTGTTTTTAGCCATCTAAAATGGATGAAAAATGTTCCTCTGTTTGTGTATTATACATTCACTTAATTATCTCACCATAGTCACTGTTTGGCTCCCAGTCACTGGAGATTCTCCGTGGGCTTCCTGTTTTGTCACGCAGCCTGTAAGAAACCCACAACAGCTTAATCTGGCCACACATTACTGGGCTCAAGCGAATATCTATCACAGATAATGCCTAATGAAAAGACTGGTCTGGTCTGGTAGGAAAAAAAAACTCTGGATATGTTGGGAGACAAAAAAGGGCATTCTTCACATTTTCGTTTTGACCACCCTTTCCGGCTAGAAGTGAGTCAAAAATAAAACTTCTCTTTTTCAAATCCGTAAAGGTTGGTATGTCAGCTTTATATTTCAGGGAAAGAGGATGTGTAAATTAAACTCTTAGCCTACTACTTTAAAGATGTTGAAATACAGTATAAAGGAAGCAGAATAAATAGATGTGTGTGTGTGGGGAGGGGTCATAAAAAGTATGCATTCATTTTACATTGAAGTACATTTCAGTAACCACAAATGTTATTTGCAAAGTAGACTAAAAAGGCGGTCACAAATGGAAGTCCTGATCATGTGAGGAGGTAACTATAACTACAGACTGTCTCACTCCCCATTAGGAAAGATGTATTTGAGCGTACATCAACAAAAGATAAGCAGTTATTTCATTACAGATTTTCACACAATATCAAAAACCTTTAGTGTTTTCCTTACAATGTCTTTAAGGTACCAGTCTAGGAGCAACACAAAACCAATTACTGATAGAAATTCTTTGACCCCTCTAAAAATCATTGGTGCACTTTTTAAGAACAACTTTTTGATGCTGTAAACTTACGCTTCTGTGTCAATAGACTCCCAGTATTCAAAATCACCATTTTCATAGCTCTTACCTAGAAAACAAACATGAAGCTTTTCAAAAAAATCTAGACATATGTGTGTTTCTGAATAAAGTATTTCAAAGCAGATATTTTAAATATATACTCATAACTGATAGAGTACCTTGATGCCCACAATGATTTTGGTAAGTGGGATATATGTTCCTGGATCAACATTAGGGTAGGGTCAGGACTGGGGCTGAGGTTAGGGGCTTAGTGTTAAGGACTATGTTTATTTGAGACTATGTTTATGTGACAAGAATGTTGTTTTAGGATCACATTGATCTAAGACCTTGATCCAAGAAGATGCTTGGCAATATGGGCGTCACTAGGCCAAATTGTGCGTTTAGCTCCATAAACTGTACACGAATTCGCGATCGCCTCAGTCCCCTTTAAATTTCATATGAAAATGGCGGCAGACTTCGATCGGCTCCTCCCCGTCTTTCAGCGCGATTTGCAGAGTCAGAAACAGAGGACAAGGTGTGTGTTTATCGATAGATTGTTATAATATCTGCATCTGTGCAGTTCTTTGGCATAAATACAGTTTACAAAACATCATGTGGGAGCAATCAGTTCCCCATCTACTGTAGCCTAAGTTTGCACTGCATTCACCCCTCACACCACAGCTGTTTCCTACAGCAAAAATTAAGCACATATGAATGCATACTTTATTAAACCACTTAAGCTCGGGGCGTTTTTTGGTATTTTCGCCTAAATTTAACATACTCAAATTCAAATGTTTACCCTGCACACATACAATGGAGGAAATTTAAAAAAATGGTTTCATTGTAAAGAAAACCCTTTGAACTACAAAATATGAGTGTAATTCTTTATAAATAACATTATATACTTTTCAAATATTACTATAAACACAAAAAAAACATAGGCGCTTTTGGAGTTTTAAAACTAAGTATTTTTTTGAAAATCTGTAATTCAGGTTCTATGGTTGTGTGTGTGACATCATGAAGACTTTAATTTGGCTTTTTCAGTACTCGAATGTTAGCCTACAAACTTAGTATAACTTAGCATACTTGTTATCCAAAGCGACTTACAAATGATCGAGGACAATAAAAGCAGTCAAAACTAACAAAAGAGCAACAATATAAGTGCAAATAACAAGTCTCGGTTAGCCTAACGCAGTACTCTTAGCAAGGTGTATATATATATATATATATATATATATATATA